GAATCCGGATCTGCTTATCGGGGTTTATACGGCTCTCTTCTGCTTGCTGCTGTCTCCGTTTATAATACCCCTGCTCTGCCTGTTCCGTAAATCGAAGACCATCATCTCGCTCTTTGGCATCTGCACGCTCGTCTTCATCATTCTGGCTGCCACGCCCGTGGCATTCCCATATGTGGAGAAGACAGCGGTGCAGCGTTTCTTTGCTGTGGTAATTGATTGGAGTTTGTCTTGGCCACAATTTATTTGTTACTCATTGGCCCATTTCGTATCTCCTCATTCAGCACACGACACGCACCTTCCACAATGCAGACGCAGCGCATTCCGTCAACCACACGGACTCCGGCTACTACGTGATGCCCGTGGATCGGCATCCCAACTCGGTGGATAGCATTCTCTTTGAGGGAACCAACTTGACGAAGGCGGATCGCAGTACGTGTGACACTGAAATAATGTGCGGCTTTCCCATTTACAGTTCGCGTTGGGTGAAGGCAGTGTAAGCAACAGTGACAGCCCCACACGTTCATAATAATCATAGTAATTCTTCATTTGATATTTGCAGAGATAATAGCTATTGGGTGCCAGGCCCAGAGCCGAATAAAGACTATCTGCCCACGTTGCGCATAATAAACAAGGAGAGCACCTCGAGAACGAACATAATATTCACCTTAGAGGTGGCTGGACCGGATCATGTGAGCATATTCATCGAGCCACTGCAGGGCGCCAAGCTCGTGGACTGGACCTTCACCAAGGAGCCGCTGGAGAAGTCTTTGCCGCCGCCCCACTACGTCTATTGGTCTTACGCCCTAGACCCGACACCTATGCGATTCAATCTGGAATTTGAGGTAAATCTTTAAGGAGTTGTCAACTCGAAGAATATTATTTTTACTGATTATTTATACTCTTTTATAACAGCACAAAAGTGAGGATTGGTCTGGCACCACGTTCAGGGTCGCCATCATGGGACACAGAATACACGACGACATGTTCATAGACAAGGACTTCCGAGAGTTCCTGGCCAGGTTTCCGCCCTGGGCGCACGTCAACTCGTGGATCGGCTCCTACAACAGCTGGCAGCTGTAAGGGCAGCCGAGTCAGCAGATGCAACGCTTGATATTCACTCACTACTCATGGTTCGGAGTCTCTGAACTGTTGTTAAGTTTTCGCATTCATCCGCATACGCCAAACACAAATTCACATATGATACTCGCGCAGGCGAACGTCCAACGAACAAAAAGTTGTATTTAAATTGTAATTCTAGACTCTAATTGAAGCCATCTCCCATCACTGAACAAACATCCGAAGCGCTAAGATTTTAATTGTATTAAAATATATTTTAAATAATTTATTAAGATATAGAAATCACTTGAAACATTTGCCAGTCATTTGCCTAGAAGATCCAGCTCTCGTACGAGGCAAGCCAGTCGGTGGTATAGGTCCAGTCCGGAAAGGTGTTCAGGAACTCCCGGAACTCGGGCGTATAGTGTTGCGGATGGTACAGGAAATGCACGCTCACTGCCAGCTTGAAGTAAGGCCCATCCGTATTCGCAGCGTCGTGCTCAAACTCCAGCCAGAAGTTGTAGGGCTCCGTGACCAGGGAGGTGACATGGTATATGAAATAGGGCGCAGTATGGCCATCCACCAAGAGCGTCTCATCGAACGACCAATTCGTGATCTTCACTTTCTCCAAGGGATCCACGTACATGACAATGCGATCGCCCGCCTTGAGGCTGAACTCGAATCGCTTTTTGTTCAAGCTTATGGACTGACGCGATACTTCTGTCAGCTCTGTGGACACTGGCAGAGCGGGAGCAGAACTGTAAATCCAGCGAGCAGAGTCCCTGAAAAAGAATCAGATCTTATGTATAGAGTAGTGTAAATACGACTGAATTGAGACCTACTTCCAGCTCAGCCAACGTCCACTGTAGAGCGGCAGGCCGCAGTAGGGCTCCTCTGCGCAATTATTCTTCAGCCAAATCTCGGGCTCTACGTTCTTAAGCGTTGTATCATACAGCTCCGAGTATCGAGTATCCACGGGCTGTATGTAGAAGCCCGTTTCTTGAGTCGTTGTTCCATCCAACTTGTGCAATGTGCGTTGGGTGTGCTGAAAGAAACTTGAGATTGGAGCTCATAGGTCTTGGCGGAGCTGAGCTGAGAAAACTCACCAGAACATAGTATCGCTGTGCGGCCACATCCTTTTTGAAAGGAAAGCCAGCAGGTGTGGCGGCTAATATGATGAATATGATGATTAGGACGCCAAACATTGAGATGAAGGTCTTCGATTTGCGGAATTTGTGTAAGACTGGCACCTGAGAAGAGGAATAACTATAACGATAATACTACACCCAAGCAGAGAGATAAAGCTCTAAAACATACTATGAATCCTGCGAAATGCATTGTCATGAGAGCAATGAATGCTGCGAGCAGCATATCGGGCTTGCTGTCGGGTCCATCGCGACCCTGCATGGGCACAAAGACCAGCAGGAACACGTACATCAAATAGGTGTAGAAGAAGAAGGGCAAAATCTGGCACAGCAAGTGAACAGTAAAGAAACACTCTGCGAAAGAGAGAGAGGAATAAATTAGCTGACAGACCGAATAATTTATATATCACTTACTCTTAATAGTCAGTCTCAGGATAAACTGCACAATCATCGAGACGGTGTAGAAGAAGAGGCCAATCATGGGGAAGAAGGCTGAGCGTATGCCCAGACCAGTGAGGAGCAGGCAAAGGAAGACAATCAGAATGCAGTGGGCATGCATGAAGCAGGCAATGGTGTGATTCAGCTTCATGTAGGTCTTGCGCTTGGTCCAGCCAATGTAGAAGGCGGGCAGCAGACCCAGTCCGAGGAACATGGGACAGAAGTACAGACCGAAGGTCATCCAAATGCCATAGTACCAGGACTCGGCCAGGCCAACGGCTTGCATGAAGACAGCCACGAGCAGGGTCAAGCCCCAGGCGATGATTACGGCACCCAGCTGCACCAGACAAATGGTGCCGAAGCGCAGGGCCACCACCTTGGGTGCATCCACCACATTGTCCTTGGTCATGAAGTAGACGGAGATGCCAATGCAGATCAGAGCGCCGATCGAAACGACGATGTTAATGGCAATGCTGGCATTCTCGGTATAGACGACAATGAACCAGCCGAGGTAGTCGAAGAAGACAGCGTGTCCCTCTTCGTGGGCGGCCGTATCATCCAGCTCCGGGGCGTTGGCCAGCGCCCAGGTCAAGGCCAGCACATTCTCGCCCGTGGACTGATAGGTGCCGCGCGCCAGATTCTTAAAGTTGTCGTACTTGGTGTGGTAGACATAGCCATTGAGGGCATGCGCCATGTCCAGGCCGGGCACATTGCCGAAATCGCGAAATATGCGAAAGTCCGTGTCGGAGGGTATAAAGTTGTTCTGAAAGAGCTCCTCGCCGAGCGTTATGGAGAAGGGGTGTGGTGCATGCTTCTGGTAGTAGCTCATCAGCCAGGGATGATTGGGGCCTGTTTGGAACAGAACCTCACGTCCGCCTGATCCCGTCGAGTCTAAGTTGATAAGTGCCCTAGGAGAGTTGATATAGTTAGAACTGTAGAAAGCGAGAGCGAGAGAGAGAGAGAGAGAGAGAGAGAGTCTACGCACTTGCAGTTTTTGGCCCATTTATGTTTTGTTATGAAGCCATGGGCACCCAGCATGTTGGCTTCCTCTGCGCCATTGAAGAGAAAGACGACGGGATGAGCCAGCGGGCGGTCGGATTGTGTCATGACGCGCAGCGTTTCCAGCATGATGACCACCATGACGCCGTCGTCGCCAGCAGCTGGTGTCTTTACCTCCGAATCGTAGTGTGAGTTAACCAACAAATAGTTGTCGCTGGGACTATCCTTGCGGGAGAGCCGCACCACCACATTGGACACATTGTCATAGCTGGTGGCCGCATCCCACAGATAGAAGGAGCCCGCAGCGTACTGCACCTCCAAGTCGATGTCATAGAGATCGCTGCGCGACTGTTCCACAATCTTTTCCACCTCGCGCTTCACAAAGTTCACTACGTGCACCTCATTGTTTATGGATCCGACCATTTTGTTGCCAATCGATGAGTACTCGGCCAGCTGGATCATGGCACGTTCGCCAATGAACTCGCCCGGATGATTGGCCTCATCGCGCACATACAGCATTTTGGGATACGAGAAGAAGCTCGGTATGGCGGCCACATAGAACAGAGCGAACCAGATCACGCAGAAGATGGGCGCCCCATACCAAGGCCACTTATCGTCGCGCTTTTTGGAGCCCTTCTCCCCAGATGCTATATCTACACTAGAGAAAGACATCTGCGAGAGAAGAAGAAATGTGTTGAGGGTTAGGATTATATCGAACAAACTGATCTGTTATTATAATTTCACTTCATTAATCATTTTGATTACATTCTTAGAATTCCATAATGTCTTTATTGTATTTTCTTGGCCACTCTTGTCAATAAAAGTTATTCGTGTGGCTATCCTTCCTTCAGAATTAAACTAGAAGCTGATGAATTACCTTTAGCTTATTTGTTGACCTTTGTGAGTACTTTGTGTGCTTAACTAAACGCAAGAAATTGAACCGCAGCGCCACACCTGAGTCGGAAAACTAACAAATGAATTGGCAATTAATGCAAACATTTCGGCTCTAGGCCACTAAGTCCGGACTTATCGGCGATAATGCCTTGTAGATTACGATTCGGCGATAAGGAGCCGCAAATTTGGGGGGTTTATGGCTTGATGGCCAGCGGTTAGATTAAGCTTTATGCCCGCATATATCTTATTGCCGAACTAAACTAAAGGAAAATAAATATTTATAATGCTCGATGATCATTAGCTTAAAAAAGGAAAACAATACTTAAAGGAAGAAAAGAAAAAGATCAGAAATTCATTGGTCGAATTTAGTAAACAAAATTCAACGAATCATATTTCGATCATCGAATCAGCGCTGAATAAAGTGTCGAAGTCAAATATAACTCGAATCCGACCGAGTTTTACATTTTTTTTGCTGAAATGGGTGAGGCAGATCACTACAGAGTAATCTACGGCGATTTCCACTACACAACGGAGAATGCCACCCGATATGCTCTGCTGCACTTGATCCTGTACGTCGTCTATTTGGCATGTGTGACGAAGATTGGCCACGATTTGATAGTGCATGACCAATATTTTTTTATCAAGGGTCTTCGTAACTTACTTCAAATGCCGGACTTCAAGGCCAATGATAAGATCATTTCTTTTAGTAATGTCATAACAATTACCGACTTTTGGGACTATTTGCAGTTTGTGGTCATTCCCCTGCTGCATGGCAACGTCAATAATCACTCGAAGACCCACCGCGTGATACACAGAACAAGGAACCTAAGAGGCCATTTATTCCTAGCCGAAAACCTATTGCTTGGCCCACCGAGGCTGCGCCAGGTACGTGTCAAAAAGGACAACTGTGAGGTGCACAGCTCGCTCTTCCGCTACTTCAACGCATGTTATACGCCCTATTCGAAGATCAATGAGGCCACTGATATGGTCTATAAGGGGTAAGGCATTCGCATGGCTGTAGAGATCTCGACTATCCCTTTTCACACTGTTACTAACAGCACAAGGTACTATACAATGGATGAACTGCAAGCCGAACCCATCAAAGCAACACTGCATAGCTATTCCAGTGGAGGCTATGTGAAACTGTTATCATACGAACCGTTTGAGAGTCTGGCGATCATACAGCGTTTGCGTAGTGAAAAATGGTTAGATCGTGCGTCACGATTGGTTCTACTCGAGCTGAATATGCTCAACTTGAACATGGACCTAATACTGTCCATTAAGTGAGCTATCCAATTGACAATCATTCAATTAAATGTTAATGCTAATGATCTACAAACCCCAGATTAATTTTCGAGATAATGACAACCGGCATTATAAACACCAAGTACAGTTCGCAATCGTTCTACACGAGTCCACTGAACGGTGGCTATGCAACGGAGTGCTCCATTGTAATCTATATAATTAACTTCTATTACACCTACATTGAGGCCTTAAGAATTAGTCGCATCGGCCTTCGGCTATACTTTAAAAAGTTTTCAACATACGCATTTTTACCTGCTATTTTCGTAAGTTGATTATCTCCACCCACACCTGTCTGCAAACCATTATCATTATCAATTATTTCTTTCTAATCAGATCTGTTACATTTTAATATATATGCATATCTCGTCATCCTTCTACTCGGCAAAATTTAAGTCTGCCATGAATTCGAACAATGTGGATTTCGTTCCATTGGACCATTTGCTGTACACATTTTCGCGTCAGCAGATCCTAGTTGGATTCTTGGCTTTCTTCTCCTGGATGGGCCTGTTAGCATATATGGACTTTGTGCCACTTCTAAGAACTTTGGGAAGTTCTATAAAGAATGTATGAGCTGAGCTGAACCTGAAATTTTCAACAAATTGCATATTAATCATTTCGTTTCGTTTAGGCCTTCACTGACTTGGCTGCCTTCTTCATCATGGTCTTCGTCGCGTTTTTGGCCTTTGCACTGCTTGGAATGTGCCTGTTTGGAAAGGAAAATTACAACTTTAAAAATATCCCTTCCGCATTCTTAACTATGATCCGCATGACGGCCTGTGATTTTAACTATTTCGAATTAGCACAAGAATTCCCGTTGTCGGCATCCTTATACTTTTTTACTTACGTGCTCTTCATATTTTTCGTTGCATTGGTAAGCGATATGAGATTGACTTGAACTTATTGCTCTTGCAGTTGATGAACTTATCCGATCTCTGCAGAACATGATCTTGGTCGTTATTGTGTTGGCCTACAAAAAGGCCACAGCGTCGACCGCCTACAAGCCCTCGTTCCTGTTGTACTATATAAGAAAGCAAATCTTTCGTCTGACCTGCGGCCTTTGTAAGCCTCCCCGCTATCCACACAACAGTCAAGAAAATCAAGACGACAACACGTTCAACCAAGAAAGGCTGCAACAACTGTAAGCTACGATCGAGAATAAGTTAATCGAAAACATTTAATAATCTATATGACAATTGCAGATATATCACCAACGAGTTTACGGAAATCGAGTCAGACCTAAATATGTAAACAACAAGCATATTATTCACTAAGCACTTCATATACTTATTGACTTCTTTGCAGACTACACATTCGCTTGAACCTAATTGATAAACTACTTAATCGTTTCACGAACAACATGGATGACATAATAGCTAATGTGAAAAAGCAAAAGAAGCAGCAAATGAATAACCAAAAAACTGTCTAACAAGTTCACTAAGTCGAACTATAAGCAAATAATAATCAAAATACCTTTAACTCTTATCAGATAATAACGAAGTCCACTCTGTGCCCAAAGTTGCATATTGCATATTGCCTCTGGTAAACAAACCAATATACCCGACCGCACTTTGCACACAGTGTATAGGTATGGCCAAGCATCTAATCAGTGCCCACAACCGGCAGCACAAAGCGTTTATACTGTTGGCCATATCTAAATGACGGCACTGCGAGGTAGTAGCGAATTACTGACGAATATTTATAGTTGATTAAATATAGTTTATGAAAAAGAATATCAAATATTTAATCAGTGACTGGCGCATTATTTAACGGAAATTCTTATGATTACTTCCGTTTGTCTGTGACCAACAATCAGTAAGAGCTAAAGGGAATTTTGTTCTTAATATATATTTCCTTTCTCACTTTTTACCTGCATTAAATTATGTTTCGCTACAATTACTCATATATATAATAAATGTTGTGTAAAACAGTTAAAATAGCTTTAGTATAACCACGTCTCATAGGACGCCGGCCAGGGCGTTGCGTCCACGTAACTGGGAAAGCTGTCGAGGAACTTCTTAAAGTCAGCCGTGTGCAATTCCTTGTGATGAATCCAATGGCCATGCAGGCCCAGCTCGAACGTAGATGTCCGCCAGTCACCGTTGGGTTTCTGCCAAATATATAATTATTATATCATTATCGTTATATCAGTATATCAAACTCACCTCGAGCTCCAGCCAGAATTTCAGTGCATCTCCATTGACGCCATAGGAGAAGTAGATGTAATAAGGTGGCTTATAGTTAAGGCGGAGCGGCGCCTGGTGGAAGGACCAGCCAACGACTCGAGCGCCATTCAGCGGCTGTATGACGATGCCCATGTGATCCGGACCACTGAGCTCCATTTCAAAGCGCATCTTATTGGCCGTCAGCTGCTTCTTGGAAACAACCTTAGCCACGGGCAGTGCGTCCAGAACAGGCGCCGAAGCGGGAATCCACAAGGCACGTTCTCTGCAAGTGTTAAATGTATGAATGAGTGACGGAATGAGTGTGGGACAGTAGAGAGTCTTACCTGGTCTTGTGCCAGCGCATGTTGTACAATGGATAGCCGCAGAGGGTTTCCTTTTTGCACTCATCTCTCACAGATCTGGCCAGAGTCATGTTGATGACCTTATCTGCATGGGACGACATTTGTTAGCCAATGTAAGAGTTTTACTATAGAGGAAATACCTACTTTTCACGGAGTAAGTGCGTCTGTCCTGTGGCATGATGAAGTAACCAGTTTCGGAGCGGCGAACGTTGTTATTTGCATCGTGGAAGGTGCGCTGGGCATGCTGTAATATGAGAAGACTCAATGAATAGGAAGCTCCTACCGGAATCTCACTTGGCCTCACTCACCAATACCGCAAAGCGCTGCACACTTGTCTCTGGCCGGTAGGGGAAGCCCAAGGGGGTGACAGCAATGATGATGCACACCAAGGTGATGCCCAGCAGAGCGCAAATGATCGTCTTGGATTTGCGGAACATGTGCAGCATGGGCACGATGAAGCCAGCGACCAGCAGGCCCACAGCAGCGCTGAAGACGGCTATGATCAGGTCCGGATTGGCTGAGTCGCCGAAACGACCCAGCATCGGAATGAAAGTGGCCAGGAAGCCGTGCGAGAAGTAGGCAAAGAACAGGAACGGAGGCACATAGCAAACGATGTGCGGAATGATCCAGGCAACGTCTGTGAAGCAGAAGAAATAAAGAGAAATTAGGCTCGGTATCAAGAGGTCATTGAGTGGTGGAGCTTACTGCGGCTGTTCAGGCTGGTAGACAGATTGAATACCACGCCCACGGTATAGAAGAGGCAGGTCAGCATGAACACAAATGCAGAGCGGATGCTGCAGATGGTGAGCACCAGGATGAGCAGCGCCAGGAAGAGGCAATGGCAGTGCAACAGCAGCTGCACACGCTGGCCAATGGGCAGTCGATCCTGGAGAGAAGCGAGAATTCAGACCAAACTACAGGCAATCAATCAATCGTACTCACAGTCGAGGTGTAGTGGAAATAGAGAGCGGGCACAATGGCCAAGCCGAAGAAGAAGGGACAGAAGTAGAGACCCAGGATGAGCCAGTTATGTGTGAACCAGGAGAGCGGTATATGCACCAGATCCATGAACACGGCAATGATAATGGGCAGTATGAAGCCTGCGACCACGCCCAGGATGAGCACGCCGAAGGTGTGCAGCGTGCGCTTGAGCACTTGGCTGAGCTTGAGGTCAGAGTTCTTGGCCATCAGCATGATGGCAACCACACAGGCCACAATCGCGCCTATGGCCACGACCACATTGAGAATGATGCCCTCCGTTTCGGTATAGAAGACCAAGAACCAGCCCATCACATCGTAGTAAACGGTGTGTCCCTCGGCGTGTTTCTGTTCACAAATTCCAGAAGTTAGTTCCTTAGCTATGAATTATTCGTCAAAATATTACCGAAGTATCCTCAAGCTCCGGCGCGCTGGATATTTCGCGGATCAGTGCCAAGAGATTGTCACCGGTATTCTGGAGGCTGCCGCGTGGAAAGATTTCCGCACGATCGAACCGGGTGTGGTAGACATAGCCATTGTGCTGGTAGGCCATGTCCAGGCCGGGCACAGCGCCATGGTCGCGGAATACGCGAAAGTCCGTGTCGGAGGGTATGAAGTTGTGTTGGAACATCTCCTCTGCCATGGTCGAGGCATAGGGGTGCTTGATGGCGCGCCGATAGCTCTTCATGAGCCAGGGGTGATTGGGGCCGGACTGGAAGAGAATCTCGCGACCGCCATTGCCAGCCGAGTCCAGGTTGATCAGCGCCCTGTCAATGTCAATGAAGCAGAAAGTAGAACTTAGTGGAATGATCATGAATGAGGATTACGCCTGGGTCACCCACTTGCAGTTCTTGGCCCACTTGTGCTGCGTGATGAAGGCGTGCGAGGCCTGCAGCGGATTCTCCTCGGCGCCGTTGAACAGGAAGACAGCCGGATGCTTGAGAGCATACTTTGATTTGGCCAGCACGCGCAGAGTCTCCAGCATGACGGCCACCATGGAGCCATCATCGCCAGCGCCGGGGCCCGCCGGCACCGAGTCGTAGTGGCTGTTGATGAGCACATAGGTGGTGCTATTGGAGCCCTTGGGACTGATCTTGACCACAAAGTTCTGTATGCTCTGGTACATGTTGACGGCCTCCCAGTGGATGTAGCTGCCGGAGGCCACCTGCACATCCACTTCGATGTCGTGGAGAGCGCCCAGCTCGGCGCGCACCTTTTGCATGGTGGACGTGATCACCTGAACGGATCCCATTTCATTTTCGCGGCTGCCCACCACACGCGGACCCAGCGCCACCAGACGCTGCAGATTCAGCTCGGCGCGCTCGGCGATGAAACGCTCCGGATTCTTGGCCTCATCCTTGATGTTGAGCGGGCGTGGCAGTTGATTGGCGGCCGGTATGGATATGGCACAGTAGATGAGCAGCCAGAAGACGATGAAGCCGGGCGCCCAATACCATTTGATCTTCTCGCGGCTGATAAAAGCTCGTTCGCAGCAGTTGGCTTGCTGTGGGCGAGTGGAAAAATCGGCAATAGTGGGTTAGTGGTTGAAGTGGTTGCGGGCTTTTCGGGTGGTTCGTGATGTTTGTTCAAGATACGGGCAGGTGAATCAGTTTTTAATTAAAACATATTCAACACTTTTTGGGTCGACTATAATGTGTTAATAGTTCGATTTAATCCATCATGACTTTATCTTATCGACGCGTCTGTGCAGCTGTTGCCACCGCCAATCGCCACGCCGATAAGCCCAAGTGAAGGCTATGTGACAGAAATGGGAGTTGGAGCTGCAGCTGCCACAGACAATCGACGCCCGAATTGGCAAATGTCTGCTCTGATAAGGCATCAACACACAGAACTCTTTCACATTGCACCACCCGAATTAGCTAATCTTATCAATGGGTATCGACAAAACACTTGTAGCTCTTGCTCTTGCTCTTGCTCTTGCTCTAGCTAGGCGCATTCTTGCGACACTTGTGCTATTTGAAGGGCCTTTGAGTTATCAACATTGACTACCCCTCAGCTCACCTCGTCGTCTACCAGGTGCAGCTGTCGACCCACCAGCAGTGGGTCCGCATTGCTGGCTTCTGAAGTCGGCGTGATGACGCGTCGCCTCAATTTCTTTTCACTGAACATTTGATCTTTGTTGTTCGCTTCTTCAACCGGTCCCAGCGAACGTGTCTCTCTATGCACAAACAAATGTATATATACAAGCGACCTATGCTCTCACGCTCTCACGCTCTCTCGATCACTTGCGCTCTCACTCTCCGGCGCTCGCTCTCTTTGTGCGGAGCTCGTTGCGCGAACCAGAACGAACCGTACGACTTGCTTAGAGGCTCGCCACTGATCGACCGACTGACGCAGCGTTTGAGCAACGACTGAGCCCAGGAAATTGTTTCGACTAGGTCTGCAGTCGACACCGATATGTTCGTATCTTATCTGCATGGTCTTTGGTTTCCTAAAGTTCAGCCGGGCTGGACTTGCAGAGTGCCACTTGTATGCTAGAGCATCGAATTAGTTGCTATATTTATTGCAAATGATTTATGGCAATAGCAAACTCCCATGCTACGACTGCTGAATCACACCTTTATCTATCTTCTGCTCCTCACATTTACTATTGGGGCCAACATTTTCAGAGAAACAATGTAATTTGTTTGTTTGCAGCACAGTTTTGTTTGTGGACTTTAGTAGATTAAAAGTGCAACCCGCTCGGGCAAGTGCGTATCAGCTTAAATTGCCATGCAGCACGTCACTGGGAAACTTAGTTTTGTGCAATAGTTAAAATGCCATGACCTATGCCATGGCACGTCCAGCACGAACATTCGGATTACCAGCAAAAGTTTTGATTGTTTATAATTTGTACCTTGGCAACTTTATCCTGTGCCTCACTGCACATTGTAACTTGTCAGCTGGAACGTTTAATATGTATATTGACTACCGCTGTCGCT